GATTTACAACTACTATGACCTTAAGAACAATAAACCAAGGCACACTAGCAAAACATAATTATTAATTTTCTGGTGTGCCATATGTCTTTATGAACTTTATACCTTGCTATGGTCAGTTGTACCAATGTGAGAAATAAGTGACTTAACCAGGTTTCCTGAAAGTTTGGTCTGTTTTGACCAGTGCTGAAATGCATGGTGAAGATAACGTCTGCAAGAGTAATATACAGCAGCCAATGGGCAGTATTAATACATGTCTTTGGTGTTAAACAGAATGATTGTTTTCTTGGTCAAAAAATTTCAAAGCTGTTTCATTTATGTTTACTTATTTCTTGTTCTCATTATCATAATCAGGAATGAACTGAAGGAAAATAACAAAACAAAAGTGATTCATAAAATCTTAATCCAGGAACTAACACTAATTGGAACGACAACAAAAATCTAGTACATGCTCGGAGAGAATGAAGAGGTATAAGTGTCCTTTCCTGGGGATTTTTTTAGGGTGAAGCAAGATTAGAAAAGGTATTGGGCTAACAAACTAGACCTTCTGCCAACTGTTACAGCTGACAATCCCCCCAACGGGTTTTGGAAGAACAGAGAGAAATTGCACATGGGTAGCAGTATGTGGAAATGTTCCCAAGCTAAGAGTGCTTTAAATGGTCAAGTCACATACTGGTCAATTATCATATTACTTGCCTGACTTCTTGTCCTGATGGGCTGGCCACAATATTAAGCACGTCCCAAGCAAGGATGTGATATGGTCCAGTTGATCTGGATTAATAATCAAGAAAAATTCATCATGATTTTAATATTTATCCCCTGACAAGCATTTCGAGCCAGTTTAACCATTAGTTTCACAAAACTCACACTGGTCTGGCTAATGGAACTGCTCAATTTTAGCACAATTGGTGAGCTGGGATTTGCAACCTGTAGATCAATACCTGAAGAGGGTATGAACTTCCTGCTTTCATTCTGGTTATAAGACTTATAAAGCAAGGCCCATCATGAAGTTCATATTGGACACCTATCCTGCATACTGCTAGGATTGGCAATGCTTACCAGAGAGTCTCCATGGCTCTGTGGTAGAGTATCAGAGTGCAGAAATTCAAAGGTATGAAGCTTGATTCCTCATGGGGACTCAGAATATTGGCTGGTCAAAATAATGACATCAACTTTAATCTACAAGCTGATCAAGATGTAACAGCCACCTACTTTGAAAGAGGAACAATATTGTGAAGCAGCACATCCTCCAGTATTTGAAAGCATTTTTCTTGTGCAGTAGTTTCTCTGTCCATAACAAGTGGCAACACTCCTTCCAGCCAAAGACTGTGCATTCGAAAAAGTAACAGCACAATCAGTGCATGTTTTGAGTATTAATTAAGGGTTCATTTGCCTCCTCCCAGCTGTTAGGGACAAACCTATAAATATATCTTTACAAAAAAGACCGAGGGCCGATATTCTTCCAGTACGGTCCCAAGCAAGCTTGGTTAATAAGAGATTTATTATACGACTGAAGTTCAAAGGGACACAAGTGCGGTATCATTCGGGATCATTCGGGATCATTCGGGACAGTGCCCGGTCCAATACTGAGAGAATATTGACTGGCAGTAGAGCATTTTGATTGGTTCATTTTAGTTATTGGCCCTCTGACTGCCCGAGTCATGTAATAAAGGACACTTACTACACAGGCCAGGCTGGTCTTACACTATCAGGCAAGCAGTTATTATAAATAACAGTAGTTGTACACCAGTTAGGTTCTTTAGAATATCCCTTAGAGCATGTACGAAGAGTTAATACCTGTGTACCATTGTGCACTTAGGCCTCTCTTGTAGGAGAGAGGTTAGTGACACCATAGCTTGTCTTCTGACAGAAAGTGCTGGATCCATACAGCAATCATGGAGAGTCAACACATCCTGGAATTATAAAATCACAAATTAGCAGATGTAATTACTGAGGTTTTACATGATATCTTGCTATAATTATATTCACAGTGTGAAGTTACCATCAATAAAACTGAAGCTCTACTGAGGTATTAATTTCCCGATGATTTGCCTTCAGCTTGTGATTTATAAGCTTTCAAACTGTTCTCCCAACATCCTGCCTGGCTTTATCAAGTTACAGAGCCCAGAAAAATGTGTTCTATTGCTTAAATGGAACATCCAATGCAAGGCTGTACTCTAAGGAAAATTAAATGGAGCCCTGTGCTCTGAAACTGTGAAATCCAGGGTGCCCAGCATAGGCTTCTTATGAAAAAAAAAAAAAAATTCCAGAGTTTCCCAAGAGCAAAAGTACGGCACCAAGGGCTACTAGGCACTGCTAGACCACAGCCTTGCAATGGCACAACAAGAAGTGCAGGATCCTGAATTGGGATGGTCATTGGAGGTTCCATAACAAGGGAATAATATCATTACTTACGACTCGCTCCAAGGAATCCAGATTAAGGGTGATTACACTCTCTAGAGCCTTAGAATAATAAAGAAATAGATAAACAAGCATAACACATTTTCAAGATTATTGGTAGCCCAAAGACAAAAGCAGTTGAGTTACCCTGGCTCTTTCATTTGATTTGTTACAGAGCTTGAAGTTTTAATTTTAATTAAAAATAATCAATTGACAAACTATGTGCTCTAAACAAAACTTTTACCATACATTATAAATATATTGACATTTGATAAATACTTAAGAGTTTGTGTGTATTTTTGGGGACAAAAGAACACAATTAACATTTCAAACCTGTAAAGCAGCCTTTCGAACTCCAACTTTCTCATCACATGTTCTTTTTCTTATAACCATACCAATGTTCCTGGTCTCTGCTTGCTTACCTGAGAAAAAAAAATGATTTCAATTGGTAAATAACTAACCTCACTGCACTATATACTTATCTCAGACTAGTATTTCAAAGGAGTGATCATCAAATTCTTGTAATGATTTTAACTGAACAACAAAGTATATATATACAGTAGTTAGAAAGGGTTACTAATTAGGTCTCAAGGATCAAGATGACAAGGATCTACAGCAGGCCCTGGTTGTTCAAAGGTTAGATAATGCTGTATTTACTGGACAAATCTCTGTCCAGTGGATAGCACAGTGTGCTTTTGCTATCACTTTTCTGCTGGATATACATCTTATTGGACATTTTTGTTGTGTAGTATCACTGAGTATTTTTATGAGTTGTGCCATCTTTTGATGAGCCTGTAGGACAAGTCAAAATACAAACAATGAGTAAAAATACTCAGCGATACTACACAACAAAATGTTTGATACTTGGATTTATTCACCAACACACCAAATTGTTATTTCAGTGTGGGTGAGTTTTGTGGATATTTCTGGAGTACAAATATCGTGTGATATTTCTACTTGTCTCGCGTGTTATTTGTACACTATGAAGTACATTTAAAATGATTTATTCTTTGGATTGAGCATTATCCTCTCTTTATGCCCCTGGACCCAGAAGTTTAAAGTGACTCACTATTTGCTTGTCTGATTAATGTTGGTGTCCCTTCTACTGGACTCTCCAGTGGTTCACAAAGTACTTCTTTTACTCTCAACCCTAAAGAGCTGTTTTCTGAAGTTGCACACTGAGCAAAGTACTGCAGAGCTTTGGCACGCACCCTGAATAAAAAAAAAAAAAAATTGCAGTAAAGAAGGAAGCATTTAACTGTCATTTAACAAAATATTTTGGATATTAACTATAAGGAAAAGTGTTGTGGTTCTTTTGGCACTTTGTGAAAGTATAATTTGTTTGCTATCAAGTGGAAGACATGGCCACCTTTTTCATATACGAATAGTGGGTGAGGAGTCAGGTTGAAGTCCCAGCCAGCTCACTGTGTTATATTCTTATGAAGAATACTTCACCACAGAGTATAAAACAGACCCAACAGACTGTCAGAGCAGCCTGAAATACTGGCAGGTTATAACCTGTCACTGCCCAACATCCTATCTCCTAGTACATCCTAGTATATCTCCCTGTATACCGACTAGACTGGAAGACCATTGCAACACAGAAGAAAACAACATGACTGAGACATCTCACTAGCCCGTACCCAGACCTATGCTGTTTCAGAGCATGCCCACGACACCAGACACCAACCGCTTTGGAATGAGGTTATTAAGTTTATTGATTGTGATCCTCACTGGTGCACTCGTAGTGTCAAAGAGGCTATTCACATAAGACTTCACCCTAACAACATCAACAGGGACAGTGGAGTAGAAATTCCTAAAGCGTGGAAGCCCACAATAAAAAAAAAAAAACACAACAAAAGGGGAGCCATATGACAGTGGACTCCTTATAACAGTGGACTCACTAACATTGAGGATCAAAACACACCAATCACAGCAGTGCAATACAAAACCAATCACAACTGAACATCCTGCTCTATAAAAAGACCCAACGCCTGACGACCTTATTGCTTAATGAAGACTAGCAATATGCAGTTGAAATGTCGTGACTCGATCACATCATAAGTGACCATATTGGGAGACAAATGATAACTCTTTGTAATTATTATCCTATTTCCTAGTTACCACACCCTTCTGAAACTGGGATTAACTGTCCCAATGTCTGACAAAGTGACTGACAGACTGACCATCAATCCCAGCAAGTTATCTGGCCCACCAAACACCAAGAGAGATGAACTTATAATTGCAGAGGGAGGATTTAAAGTATCTCATGCCTTCACACTCACATTGGTGCCCTGTCAGAACATCTTGGGATAATTAAGTCCAGCAAAGACTTCTTGCTGAGAAGCCTTCTTTTGTCATCATCCAGTGAGTTTTCTGGTGAAAAGGAAATAATTATGTTTTCACAATTTTGGCCACCAACAATGGGCAGACTATGCTCGTATCTTCACTAAGTGTGACCTGAGGCATATTAAGTCCAATGGAGTTCATCTTGCCTGCTCATGTGGCCATTCAAAATCCTGGATTTGTCTGTGCAGATCATTAGCCAAACACTTGATGTGGATAACTTACCATAGACACTGATCAGTTTTAAATTTTCTGACAACACATAAAAGTATCATCAAAGTATTGTTGTTAATGTTCATGAGCAATAGACAGTTTAATTTTTTAATTCGCTCTGACGAAGGGCAAATGCTCCAAAAGTCAGCTTTTTTATTCCTTACGGTGGCCAATTTACAATTTCAACTGAGTTGATATAACCAAATTAGTTTAATTTTTTGTTTTCTTTTAAAGGTGTGCATTTACATACAGTACTTAGAATGAAACAATGATTTTGCACATGTCTCGCTTTTGAATGGTGCCAGCTTTTAAAAGCCATCCCAGAAAAGAACAGAATAGCACTGGTGCTTACAGCATTGACTTTAAACTCAGCTATTAAGAGGTATTCAATGGTACATTTCTAAGTGAAGTGAGGATAATTAAGGGCCATTGCCCCATATGGTGTGATTCACAATAATCTTTTATTTGTCGCTGTTGAATGATTTTATAAAGGAATTGTGTTCCCTTACCATCCAATAGAATCCTCTCTGGTTCAACTAGTAGAAGTGAAAACACTTCCAATGCAAAAATTCTGTAACTTATCTGTGAAAAAAAAAAAAGTCTAATTGAATTACTCGCAAAATCTGATGGCCAAATTCCTTAACATACTTGCACTCCTCACCATGTTGCAGAATATTAAAGTTGGTGGTTTAACCTTTTATTTCTCCACCGTGCTTCTCACTACACATGCTTATCCTCTCTCAAGTTCCACTCCTTCACTAATCTATATAACTCTCCTTATTGTTATCAGTGTTATCATCAGTATCATCATCTCATCATTATCGTCATGGTCCTTGGAATTAACATTATCAACATTGTTATCTTTACTACTATTCAGGGGTTACATGACTTATTCCCAGGGCTCAACACTAACTTTTCAACTTACTAGCCAAGTGGCTAGTGACATACCTTCGATGTTTTTAGATCTTACGACAATTTCAGTCTGTTTACAAGCCAAACTGGCTTGTGGAAATTGAAAACCACTAGCCAAAACTGAATTTCTACTAGTCTGTGGCTAGTGGGCTACCATTGGTGTCAAGCCCTGATTCCTTATGTGGCTACAATGGTATTGTGGGTGGTGGTGCCCAGTAAAGGGGCTGCAAGGTAACCCAAGAACCTCCCTCCCTGTAGGCTAAACAGACTTCTGTAGGAGGTCTAACAGGCATTCATAGCTAGACCACTGGTAACTGCCTTTTTTTTAGAACCCTGTCACTATCATTATCACTACATAGTAATTCAAACAATAGTAGAGAACTGCAATTTCTTCGATATCTAGCTTCTTCTCATCCCAAGTCAACATTCACCTGGTGATCGGATGCTTAAACTATACATTCATACAATGACTACTAATTGCGGACAAGATTATTCCACAAAGAGTGTCACCAGATCAAATACATTACGCGACAACAACAAAAGTTATTACATAATTGACTTAAGTTTGTTATTACAAGTTCTTAAACACCTTCCACACAGTTTTGTAGTCAAAGTCTCTTCAACACTTAGCTTAAGCTATGTATCACAGTATCATACATGGAAAGTCTACAAGAATAAACAATAATTTATGATCTTGAGGGTTAAGAATACATTGGCTAGTCAGTTGCATGCAAATCTCTGGCCAGTACCTTGTCATTTTTGGAGTACATGTTTATCCATTCTACAAGACTGGTGTACTGATAAACTGGTAAAATTTTCATGATATCAACTACTGCCTGCAAGAGAAATTCCATCGATGACAGTATGTCAGAAATAGACAAAAAATTATACATGAACACTTTCAGTTTTCTGGGAAGAAATAGAAATGTTGGACAAGAACTTAATTTTCTTTGTGGTGCAGTGCTGATAATTTTTGTTTTTGTTTTTAGGAACAGAGAGAAACAGACTCCACTCACATTTGTTTAACACACAACCCATTCAGATAGTTTTATACCTGGGACCTACATTTATTAAGCAGTTACTTGCTGTTTGAATAATGGGTTGTCCATCAATAAGAAGGATGGAAAAAAATTGTATCAAATGACGATAAAATACGTTCAACAATCCGAGTCAAACTGACTAACTTGTAGCTGGTCTCATTACCTTTGCCACAGTGGTTCTGTACTCTGCTCGTTCAGGGCAACTGGTAAAGATATTTTGAACAAGAACTTCTACAGAACTCAGCACCTCTTGGGTCTCTTTACTTGCTAGATAGCTGAATTCAAAAGCACAAAAGAGGCATGAATTAAATTGAATTTTAAATTCAAAATGTGTGATAAATTTATGAATATTTTCCACTGACTGAGCAAAGCAAAAAAAGTGGAGGATTCTGGATGATTCAGCTCAGTGCATACCAATCCAAATAACTGAGGTTTGACCATACTTTGCAGTTTTTGCTGTCTTCTTTGCTGTATAAAGTAAAATTTAAAGCCCTGCTAACAGACATCAAAACCTAGTTTTCAAAGAACATTCCCCCAATCCCTCTGAGTAAGACCAAGTTTAATACAGATGGTTTACTCTCTTCCTTTCTTTGTTTCCTTTCTTGTTTTCTGAAGTAGACAAGCTTGACTATTACATGTCATGACCATATATTTGATATTTACCAGATAAAGGCAACAGCTTGGTCTTTGGTGTTCTGAACATATTTAGAGATAGATCCATTACTAGCGATTGCTCCACCAAACACCATAAGAACATTTGAGATTAAGTGTTCAAACACCTACAATAGACAGACAGTATTCATTAAATATAATTTTTTCATTTGAAAAATTTTCAACAAGTTTTGCTTTTTTTTATGCTATTTTTCTGAGAAATAATTAGAAATTGAATAGACCTGTGAATTGAAAGTGTTAACAACAAAAGCTGTGGACTTACAGTGTGAGTGATTGTTCCGATGTCGCCATGAAGAGGTGAGCACATGACACTCAGACCCTTAAAAAAAAAGACAAAGAAACATATAGCTGAATTTTCAAATGCATATATCCTAAAGAGGGTTATCTTTTGGGTGCAAATTAACTTTTTGAAGAATAATGATATTATTACCTCATGTAATGTATAGTGAATGTATTTTTCACAAGAACTTATATATATCGCTGGCAATACCCAGAGGGCAATATGAAGTGAATCCTGTGTTCTGATTGCCTACCCAAGCAGGCAAGATTAGTTAATCTTGCCCACTCAAGATTGCCGACTTTGATCCCATGCAAGAAAAAAATTACTTGGAAAGTAATGACAAAATGTGAAGGGCTGGTAAGAAACATTTGAAAAGAGTTAAGAAAAATGTTTTATCCTATCTGGAGTGTTTTTTACATAGTTTTCAACTTGTTTTGAAGCCCACAGCTGAAAAACCTGGACTCAAGCATGACACATGACTTACAACAATTTGTGACTAATGAAAAAAAAACAACCTAAAAATGTTTATATCAGGCCTGCATCAGAGAACCTCACTATAAAATTGGTTATGAATGAAGAAATGAAAAATGTATTTTTAGTTAAATTTATGAGTTTTACCATGATATCATTCTGACACAAATGACAAAAAATACTCACAAAATATGCCAAGGAAGCAATTGACTTGATGGAATAAATTTGGTGCCTGCAAACAAAAACGTGAATCAAACTTTATCAGTTAATTCAATTAAGTCTTAATTTCATTTACAGGCAGTACATGCTCTGAATATAACTAACGTTGGATTAAAATAGAACTAACCCTGGGAAGTCAAATACAACTTGTTCAAAGGGTTCACCCTCATGTCGTGTTGTTTCCACAAACAACTGAATCAAATGATGAGCGAGCTGCTCAGAATCTTTGAGGGAGTAGCTGCTTAAAAGCAACACTGTATCCTACAGTCCAGAAAGGAAGAATAAAAAATAATATAATCATTTTTTCCAAATTTTAAGACTCAGGGCCTTTGATTTGGATTGAGGCTAAAGGTGACCTTGTCGTGATAGAGAACAGTATTTAGTTAACATGATAACAAAGTGATTTACACTTGAAAAGCAGCAACATTTGTATTACAACAAGGTCACCCTTAGCCTCACTCCTTTTCAACCAAGCATGCAGCTGTAATGTAGACTAGTAAATACAAAAAATTATTTTACTAAGCCTAAGGAGAATTTTCTGACACTTGATTTTCTGTAGAATAACATGAGATGTAACAAAAATTTTCACTTACCTGCATTAGTGATAAAAGTTTGACTTTAGCATTGGCCTTTGCTTGTTCAGTGTTTATCTGCCCAGTCATTTCATCATCCTCATTGTCACTGCTATCATTATCATCATCATCATTATCAGAAGTAGCCTCTACTTCCATGCTCTCACCATTACCATCACCTTCTAAAATAAAAATCACAGCTCTAGTTAGCATTTAAGGGGGGTCATTAAGATTAATTAAAATGGATTCTAGAGGCTTATGACAGCTTGCAGTTTAACATCTTATTGGGGCAAGTTAATGTTACAAGCTGGCAATCATATATTCAATCAGCTATGTTTGATTTAGAATTAGAGTGGACAGTGAGGGGGAGGGGACATGAAAAGACAAGAAGACTTTATTTCTATTGCCCCACCCTTCCCCTCTCCTACTTTTAGACTGCCATTCACCCCCTTGGTACAAATTTCTTTCCCTTCCCAGCCATCCACTGCTGTAAAATCACTAAGAAAATGCAGAGCACTAGCTTGCCAAAATTACACCAGATATGTTGTTTGATCATCCCAGTGAGAGTTAAGTCCTGAGAAGGACTGTAATTGTCAGTCGCAGTAATAAAGTTTCGACTACCTCTACAAAAATCTGTATCAGAGTCAAGTACAATGTCA